ATGTGACCCTGCAGCACAAAAGCAGTGTTAAGTCGCTGGGGTATATTTGTAGCAATAGCCAACAATACATTGTATGGGTCAAAATTATAGATTTTTCTTTTATGCCAAAAGTCATTAGGATATTAAGTAAAGATCATGTTCCATGAAGATATTTTGTAAATTTCCTACCGTAAATATACCAACTTAATGTTTGATTAGTAATATGCATTGCTAAAAACTTCATTTGAACAACTTTAAAGATGATTTTCTCAATATTTAGATTTTTTTGCACCCTCAGATTCCAGATTTTCAAATAGTTGTATCTCAGCCACATATTGTCCTATCCTAACAAACCATACATCAATGGAAAGCTCAATTGAAAAATTGACCCGTATGACTGGTTTTGTGGTCCAGGGTCACATTGTCACAATATGAAAATCCAATCTCCCAGGTGTACAAAGAAAAATTTAGACAATCAGAGGATAAGGTATTAAAGCCACACCATGTAACTTCTGCTCACGGTTCCCCATGTGGTTGATAAGTGCAACTGTCTGTCACCAGTGTTGTAAATACTGTCGCTGTATAAGCTTGCCCGAGGGCAGTGATATACACGCGAGTTAGTTAACTAAGCGGAGGAACCGGCGAATGCAGAAACCTTGTTTGAAACCATGTCCACCGACCAGGTAAAGTAGCCCGGGTTACACCATGTTCTACAAACATCATTACATTGTAGTTCAGTTCTGGAGTAACACTGAATAAAACTATGACAAAAAGAACGTCAGTATGTTTGCCTAGTTTGTTGGCTCACATAGATCGCATGTAGCATTGTTTGCAAAGGGTGTAATTTGTATAATAGAATAAAATATTGTCCGCATAATCATATAGCCATAATGTCCATTATAGCCTATATATCGAACATTGTCATAAGATTATAAGGCTGTAAAGTAACAGAGCCTCTTTATTTGAATAACCGTTCAGACGTGAAGTAGACTGGGGAATTAGTTTTTGGATCTTGGTTACAGCCAGTGCCAGAAAACTACTGAAATCATTTTAGATAGGGATGCACCGATACCGATACTGGTATCGGGCCCGATACTGGCCTCCTGTACTCGTACTCGTAAAAATGCCCCGATACCAAACGCCGATACCACACAGCATGTGATAAGCGCCATATTCAAACAAAGAAACACCGACAACAGAACAATACATACTCTTTTGGTTTCTATACCCAATATTAAAAAAAATAAATAAATTAAAAAAAAAGTACAAATGCAATAAAAGTATCGGTACTCGGTACCGGCAAGTACCAAAAATAGAAGTATCGGTATCGGGCGAGTACTGGGAAAAAGTGGTATCGGTGTATCCCTAATTTTAGACATTATTTTAAAAGGTCGAAAAACTACATAGTGCTGCTTTAAAACCCAAACAAGAGAATTGGCAGAGAATCCCTGTAATAAATGAGTCACTGAATCATTCAAACACACAAATAATTCATGAACAAAGCAAGGGAATGTCTCTATGAATGGATTACTCAAACTATTGGTTTAAACACGCAGATTTATTCAGAAAATAAACACTAGTGTGTAGAACTTTCTCTGCAAAACAGAGCAAAAACAGACAACATTGAGCCCAAAATATAACTCACTAATGAACTTACAGAACTAATGTATAAAATCAATTATATTATATAAATTTGAAAGACAAGCTCACACACAGGCATTTTTGCCCCCATTTATTGAATCTTGCATTCTAATGTGCTGCACGACAGTTGAAAACATGAGCCTGTTTTTCTTTGGATTGTGCAAAAGGAGTGACACTGTTGCCCATCATTAAAACAATTATGATATTTTTCATAAATGATACATACGGGCCCCCTCTAGAAAATCAACTAAGCTAAACTCTGCAGCTCTTGATCCACCTTTCATCACATCTGACCATTTTAGCACAACCTTAAATGTCCCCTTCGGTTAAACTGTCAGCAACATGACTCTCTATTTTTGGTCATCATACTGGCTTAAACACATCTCAGTGGTGTAGGACTAGGGCTGGGCGATATAGCTAAAAAAAAATGTATCAACGATATAATGTTTCATATTGTTCGGTATCGATAATTATTGACATTTTTATAACTTTTTTTTAAACCAAGCAATAGAATTTTTTTTTTTTTAAACCATCGTATTTATAATTAACAATTTATTGAGAAACTAATATTTTTTGTTTTAACAATCAAACACAAATTAAACCAATATCTAATTTCTAATGTTTTATATGCAGATTAAATAGGTCTTTATATTGTATAGGTCTAATTGTCTCCCGAGGCCACAGGAGAGCACAATGAGCAACATAATGCAGCGCATTTAGCAAGTAACTATAAAAACATGCATTACGTCTAAATTAACTCATAAAAAATTATGTAATTTACAAAATTATATTTGAACAAAACAGCATCATGTATTTATGCATTGCTTAATCCAAAGAGCCGAAGCGCAATTCACACAGACTGCATTTAAAAACATGTGACGCAGTGAAAAGGAATAAACATCTACAAATTCATGACGCGTTTTCTAAAAGTTTAAACTGTTTTAACTTTGCCTGGCTTTCTATACATCGCTTGTGTGAGACGTGAGTGCAGCAGTCGTATTTGTCCGTCTAAAAATGAGTTCTGTGTGAATGGCTTGGTTTCGATTTTAACCCATTCAAGATCTTCTCCGCATTGAGCTTCTATATTTCTCTAATATTTTGAATGAATAACGCAGCAGCGGCGCATCTCGTGGGCTAGACTAACAAAACATTAAAACATGCAACAACCTCACTTGCATCATCATCACCGCATCTCGCGCGCCACTGATGACGCTGACGTACTCCTAACATTCAAATGCAAATGTTTATTTTAAATTAGCCTAATATTCATTCTTTATTCACAATGTCCTCATCACAGGCAGGCACAGCACTCATTTCAGCGTGTGTTCGTGTTTGTGTGTGCTGTCTGCGTCACTCAGAGCACGTGCCTATATCAAACATTTTTTCTATCGTTATCGAAGAAGGTGTACCGTCGATAAATATCGACACCGTTTTATCGCCCAGGCCTATGTAGGACTGTCTTCAGTCAGGACCTCCTCTGCTCAGAGACACATCAGAAACGTTTACATGCACTCATTTCCATCAGTCAGAATAAATCCAATCCGATTTCACATTCTGAAGGATGTGTTCATATGAACTCTAAATGCTTTCTTTACATGTGCATTACATGTAGTCCAATCAAAACTACAGCGCTCGCACAGAGCCCAGTGTGTGTTCAGGGTGGATCCAGAGAGCAGATTGTGTAACATTCCCAGAATACCTTACGGATAACCTGAACTTTCAGTCCCAAAAACTTTCAGGGTATGCAAGCAGTCACAGAAGCTTATGCTCCAGAGCAGGTTATGTTTCAGAGTTAGTTTACGTCACAGGTGTCAGCGCACGTGTGCCATATTGATGAGGCTATAATTTATATAGTAATTCCTTATTTATAAAGCAATGCAACCCTCTACATTGCGACTAAATCTTACTCTGGGCGACTAAATAATGTCTAACATTAGCCATTGGCTAATAAAGTCTTAGATTTTACTCGCCAGTGTGTGTGAGAGGCGTTCAACACAGATTTTCACTCGATAAACACGCTGACTGAGCGCTTGAGAGTTTCGCTCTCCGTCAAGCGATCTGTACTATTTGGATGCACTCAATGGATCATGTCATGTACTCAATGGATGCACAGTTGCAACAGGATGTTTTCTGTATAATTGATCGTATGTATTTTTATTACAGAACTACCTCTTGTCTCAAACGTATACTGCCATATCTTGGCAGTTTTTTAGGTAAATTATTTTTAATATACATTTAGCTTAAAAAAACTTGTGCAATAAAAACTGATTAAAGATATGCACTAAGAATGTAACTCAATATTAAACAAAAAAATCATTATGGCGCATGTCTTAGTGTGTGTTTCTATAGAGGACTCTGCGCTCTGTTGAGAAAGTCTTGTTAACATGTACCTCCTGCACGTGAAGCTGCAGGTCTGTCAGCGTGCTCTCCAGCGCCTTCCTCTCAGACACAGCGGTGTTCAGCGCCGCCTCTTTACAGTTCAGCAGGGCTTCAGCTTCCTTCAGTCGGGCCTGAGAGCTGGAGAGGTCAGCGTCCTTCTTGGCATACCTGTGACCGAGCGAGAGAGACAGAGAGAGCAGGATCAGACGCTGCTGAGAATCACCGAGCGCACACTACTACACAAAACAATATCAGCTTTCTCATTACTTTAATTTTTCTGTTTGTTTCGGTGTTCATCAAAAACACAACCTGAATGAGGAGACTGAAGCAGATACAGCAGCCTGATTTCACCGAATCTTAGCGTGTATGGCATCACGAGGCAGTCCGCAACACTCAGCTCAAACACACATCCAGTCTCGCGCTTAAGCTTCGAGAACGCAGACTAACAACCTACACAAGCTTTAATGAAACCGTAAGAACGTATTAAAACAACCACCGAATGACAACCCTAGCAAACCCTAGTTTCAAAGAGGATTTGTTTGGAAAGAGGACTCTGGGAACACAGGTTTCCATTTGGATAGTTTTTTTCCCCCTTTATATAGAATTATTTTCCTTCATATTATATAAGCATGAACACTGTAAACGCTACATTAAAACTAAGAGGTGGGTTTATGACTGAATATTGACCGAAATGAGCTTCACTTCTAAAAGCATGCTGGGGTTTTGGCTCGATGATTTGAGGCGTGTTCATGGTCAGGACAGGGTCAGCATCGACACCAGCACTACAACTACACTGACCCTGATCACCGTGCAAGCGCTGAGCTCGTGCTCCGGAGGTGCGCTCAGGGTCTGTGGAATGAGAGGAATGTCTCAGACTGCGGAGAGCGGCTGAGGACGCCAGCAGTCGGTCCATACGGTCGGATCAAGCTCGACCGACACTATAGAGCAAACCAAACACGTGTTACACGTATCTGCTCATCTGAAACAAAGAGCTGCTTCACACGGAGCCCCTACAGCCGCTGGGGAGCGCTCACATCCTCCAGCTGCTCCACGCCAATGAGACGCTTCAGTCTGAACCCTGAAAGAAACCCCAGTGAACCACTGCTCCTGTCAATCACACACACACACCACTGACGGACGAGCGGGGGAAATTAAACACCACGGCCAGTCTAAACGTGAGCTGAACTGCAGCTCTGAAGTGTGAGGGTGGCAGAATTCAGACAATCACAGTTCTGTACTGGAGGGAGCTATAAGAGGAGCACATGACACTCGAGCACAAACACAAGCCTTCATGTGCAAAAGCTAAAGAATTCTCCATGGGCTCCACTAACAACTATAAATCCAAGAGGGATCCTGCATGCAGAAATGAAAAAAAAAAAAAAAAAATCACAACAAATAATGCATGCAGGCAAATTTCCATCAACTGTAAAACACAGAAAAGGACACATTTAAAAGCCCTTCCTCTCGGCTGGCCCAGAACCGCAGTAACATCTACAGACCCCACCACACTAATTAGCACAACTAATTACATTCAACCAATTACAGCGCAGGAGAGACATCTTGACCCGGTCTGGACACAACTTGCCTGCTTAAGTATTGTTGTATTGTATTTTGTATTGTTTAGGCGTCACTCACACGGTTCATGAGGAAGTTTGAACAGAGAGAGGCTCACGTGTGCTGCAGCTGCTCGTGCTCGCTCGTTATCTGGCCCAGCGCGAGCTGCAGGCGTGCGCGCTCCCGCGCCGTGTCATCCAGCGCCGTGCGCGCGTCCGCCAGCTCGGTCTCGTAGAGCGCTTTGAGGCCGCTGATCTCGCGGCTCCGCAGCTCCTCGCGCTCGCTGATCTGCAGCTGCAGGACGCTGTTCTCGGACTCCAGACCGCGGACCGTGTCGATGTAGGCGGCCAGCCGGTCGTTGAGCTGCTGCAGCTCCTGCTTCTCCTGCAGGCGGGAGATCCGCGCGGGGCTCAGAGGAGTGCTGCCGCCGCGGGACAACGGCTGCTGCCCGGCCGGAGTGCTCGCCATTCTGCAGCTCGACTGAGAGGGAAACAGGGTTCAGTTAATCACGAGCGGATGCTCCTTCTTCAGCAGACGAGGACTTAATCATAAACATCTGATCAACTCAATCAACGCTGCTGATTATGAACAGGACAAAAACCATTTACCTTCTGACTGATCAAGTATAGAAACCAAGCACCGAGCGAACAGAGTGTAACTCTAACAGATCTGCTTTAAACGCTGCAGCGTCCTGCATCAATATAACAGTAAACTATGAAGTAAAGAGCGTACAAATGAGTGTGTGAGAGAGAGAGTGTGTCTTACTCGGAGTCCGGCCGCGTGAAAGAATGAACTGAACTGAACTAATATGGCCGCTCATCAGACCCACACTGACACGTGACCGCGGACACCCAATCAGACGCCGCCGCGTCATCAGACGCTCAACGGTGCGGGTTGAGACCAAATTCAAACTGCAGAAACCGCGCTGAAAGCACTGTTAACGGCGCGCTATCAACAAACGTGTCTCATAACAATGAACGGTCTCACACTGACAATATTAAACACTTTATGAATGACACTTCGCTGTTTATCTGCTTACTTCGTAGATTATCAAGGCGTGTTGAGAGCGCTCTGTGAAACAGCAGTTTTCTCTAGGTTTGTCTGATGGGGTTCTCACTAATGCTGGAAAGCGTTTCGAGGGTCACTGCTGGGGTGCAAAGCTTGAAATCAGTCATCATCGCGGGGCCGCGTGAAAGAATGAACTGAACTGAACTAATATGGCCGCTCATCAGACCCACACTGACACGTGACCGCGGACACCCAATCAGACGCCGCCGCGTCATCAGACGCTCAACGGTGCGGGTTGAGACCAAATTCAAACCGCAGAAACCGCGCTGAAAGCACTGTTAACGGCGCGCTATCAACAAACGTGTCTCATAACAATGAACGGTCTCACACTGACAATAGTAAACACTTTATGAATGACACTTCGCTGTTTGTTTCCATTGTACAGTAAGATTATCAAGGCGTGTTGAGAGCGCTCTGTGAAACAGCAGTTTTCTCTAGGTTTGTCTGATGGGGTTCTCACTAATGCTGGAAAGCGTTTCGAGGGTCACTGCTGGGGTGCAAAGCTTGAAATCAGTCATCATCGCGGGATTTTTCACAGCAGTGTCATTCAATCGAACTGTTCACACAGCTGGAATAATAAAGAATTCACCTATATTTCAGTCTGGTATGTGCCACACATCAAAATATGTGTCCCTGCAGCACAAAAGCAGTCTTAAAGGGGTCATATGATGCTGCTAAAAAGAACATTATTTTGTGTATTTGGTGTAATGAAATGTGTTTATGCGGTTTAAAGTTTAAAAAACACATTATTTTCCACATACTGTGCATTATTGTTTCTCCTCTATGCCCCGCCTTTCTGAAACGCGTCGATTTTTACAAAGCTCATCGGTCTGAAAAGCGAGGTGTGCTGTGATTGGCCAGCTATCCAGTGCGTTGTGATTGGCTGAATACCTCAAGCGTGTGACGGAAATGTAACGTCCCTCACATACTGCTTGGAAACGTTTCGAAATCGTCGCCCCTCAACGAACCATTGAATCAACGTCTATGGTTTTGATCTGATCTCGAATCAGTTTTATGAATTTGTAGACATTTTTAATCAAACATTTGTGTAATTAAAATGATGAGCAGTAGTTAGTCTCTTACTGGCCTGTTTAGACAAGCTCTCCATAAAACAAACAAAACAGGCCCTGCAAATTAATAAAAATGATTAAAAAAAAAAAACATATTATACTGACACTTCTTATTTAATGATATTTTATTATTTTTATTGCATTGAATGTATTATACTTTAAATCAGGGGCGGATCTAGAAAATAATTTTTAGGGTGGCAGAGGGGTGGCATGGGGTCTATGAGGGGTGGCAACACCAAAGCAAGCCCCCATGCATAGTTTCTGGGGATTTATGGTCTGACATACACAGTTGTGTTCACAAATATTATATTACCATTAAGTAATCATCTACAGCCTACTGTTTAAAATGAAAAATAAATAACAACATTGCAATATCCATCATGGCACCAAGTCAATGCACAATATAAAAAACTTTGAAAGGTTAAACATGTTTCTGAGCTTGTATCACTAAAGAAGACATGCGGTTCTATTAAAATTACATAGGCTCCATATACTCTAGCAACACCCCAGCAACTGCATAGCAAGAGCCTAGCAACCACCCAGAATATCCTAGCAACCAACTAGCAACACTTTAGCAAACATCTAGAACATCAAACTGACCAAACCATTTACCTTTTTTAAACCAGATTTAAGACAAGCATAAATTTGTCTTTTTAAACTTTTCAATCTAATTATTACAGTTTTTCTTACAGGTTTTTTTCAACTGCTTACACACATTGTCAAAACTTTGCCTCTTTTTTTTCAAACTTTACACACAAATCCAAGAATTGCACACACAAAAAGCCTCACATCTCTTGGAAAATGAAGCACTGCATTCAAAATATCACAAACACATCTCAAAAGCAAACACTTCGCCATAATATTAATTCCTGTTCGATTTTTGCAGGATTTTACATAGAGAACTGTGTGCTGTGTTTTGCAAAAAGTGTTTTATGAAATTGAAAACTGAGTAAAAGGCTGAGAATTAGTG